GCTCTCGTAGTCATTTGGTATTGTCTCGCGCGCCAAATTTGGCCCGCGGGCCAGAGTTTGACACCCCTGACATAGACCTTCCCTGTGAGAAAAAGTACAGTATGTTCAGGCTAGCCGGGGTTTTTGAAGTGGAGAAAGATCAGGGATTCTCTGAGTAAGCTGGAGGGTCTGTGTATGATGGTGGTTGTTCTGGATAGGATGGTGGTTCAAACTGGAAGAGATAAGAGGAGACATTTATTACATTTATTATTTTAGAACATTTTCAAGCTCATGTTTAATAGAAGAAAACACTCAAGCAGCTTTGTATCTAAATCAGATCCTCATCATGAAATATCGCTGTACCCTGTATGGAGGAGGTGGGCCGACATTTCTTGAGCAGTACATGGGAGGGTCTCTGTGAGGAGGTTGAAACTCTGCTTCATGAATGTCCATTATGTCCTCCCGCTCATCCTCATATATGGGGATGACATATACAGATGGAGAGTTAGTGGGCATCAGGGGCCAGCCTTCTGCTTCTCTGTGTTTCTTTGCAAAATGGCAACAAAGAATCCACAGAGTAATACCAAAACACAACAAGGGAATCCTGAAATAAAAGACAGCTTAGCTATATGTGCAGCACGAATACAATGAGGTATAAAAGTATATCAAATGAATATTAACATGTTGGAAACAGAATACTTACTCAATTGTGGGATAAAATACCATGGCAGGTTTATTTTCTGAACCAGGTTTCACACCTGGGGAAAATTAAAAGAAAAGAGGCCTTGTCATTCAGGTGGCCAAGGTCATGCAATTTAATGTTTAGTTTTACAATACATTTATACATGGAAAGTTCAAAGGTAGCTCTTTATCTCTTTGTATCCTTAAATCACACCGACATAAACAGAATGTTCTTAAAGCAGATAGGATTACTATAAGAAAGCTGGAATTTGTCTCTAACACAGTGGATTTTCTACATAACAACAGTTCAAAGTTAAAATTGTACAGTATGTGTAGCTTCTATGGGATGTTGCTACATAACAGATTTATACACTTGATTTCAGCTTGATTAGAGTAAAAGCGAGCTGCAATGAAAGCCAGTAGCAAAACATTTCCTTTCCATTCTTGATGAATATATAACGGGCCTTGTACCATGAGACGTTGTTCTTCCAGTTTCAGGCTTTACTGAACAGAGTTGAATATAAAACGGCAAAGAAAATGATTTAACACATTTGGATAAGCTGCCCCTGACTAATTTGATATTTTGTAATGCTGAAAATAAAGCTTACCTTCAAGTACAAGCCATGTAGTGCAGGTTAAGAAGAGTGTTGACTTGCAACAGACATTTTATAGCCTCATTGGCCTGTTTAAAGTAGCAGAACTTGCCGAGGTTACAGCCAGTGACGTAACTAACTTATCGCTCACCACACAGCGGTATAACAGCGTTGGTCTAAAGGCCACTAGCTGCTAAGGTGACTCTTACTGATTAAGATGCATTGTAATAAACCACACAAAAACAATAATAATAAGGAATGGAAGTCACATTACAGGAAAAAAGAGGATAACATGGAAAAACAAGATTCCTTGTTGCAACTTGTTACTTAGGAATGCAGTGGAGGTGTTGTTGAAACATGTTGGAGGTATCTGTACTGCAGCTCTCTGCACAGCAGAATGTTTCTCTTTGAAGGAGGATATTCTGTCCCAGAAAAAAATATCATTTCAGGCTCACACTGGGCCATTGAACACAGATAAAACAGCACAAGGTTAAACCACAACACACACTTTTCCAAGCTTTTATTTATACTTTATGTTGATCTCACAACAAGCCTGAAAACATTTCCCCTGCTGCACACACTTCACACATCCATCTAATGGCAAAACCCAGCATGCCCCCTCAGTACGTTAATACATTGTATAACACAAAATATATTGTTTGTTAGCGTAGGAGAGGTGGAGGTGGAGGAGGTGGTGGAGGAGGTGGTGGTGGAGGGGGTGGTGGCACCATACCAGAGGTGCCAGTGTGAAAGGGTGGTGGAGGAGGAGGGGGCCCAGCTCTTGACACCGATAGGGGTGGAGGTGGAGGAGGAAGAGGGGCACCTCCCGCTGCAGGAGGAGGTGGAGGAGGAAGA